AGGGAATTTTGGGAGCACAGAGGGGATTTTTGGGAGCACAGGAAGGATTTTTGGGAGCACAGGAGGGATTTTTGGGAGCACAGAGGGGATTTTTGGAGCACAGGAGGGATTTCTGGGAGCACAGGAGGGATTTTTGGGAGCACAAGAGGGATTTTTGGGAGCACAGGGGAATTTTGGGAGCACAGGAGGGATTTTTGGGAGCACAGGAGGGATTTCTGGGAGCACAGGGGAATTTTGGGAATGGGCCCTGCCCTCACTCTCCTGCTTTTCCCAGTTTTTTCGATGGAAGTGCCCTGGATGGCAGCCCCTCCTCCCAGTTTGCAGAGGTGAGTTTTCCTGCTTTTTTCCCCCCAAAATCCAGAGGGGTTCTTCCTGCTCCCAGATTTTCCAGAATCCATCCATTATCAAGGGAATTCCCTCAATCCCAAGCCAGGAATGGGGTCACCAAACAGCCAGAATTCCAAAGCAGATCCCAATCTGCTCCCAGTCTGGATTTTTCCTGTTTGCTTCCTCTGGATCCATTTGTCTCCTGATCCCAATTATTGCCTGGATATTGCTTCATATCCCAGAAATTCCCGAGTTCCAGCAGGATCCCGATCCTGTGGAGCTTCGTGCTCCATAAATCAGCCTGGATTTTGGGATGAATAACTCCTGGAAGTGGCCTCCATCCCGTCAGAGCAGCGGGACAACACGGAATGTTTATTCCTTGGCTTTTGTTCCTTAATCCAAAAGGATTTGTGGGAGAGGGTCGCCCTGGGGAGGGGGGGGCTCTGGCTGTGAATTCCTGGGGGTTTTCCTGCACCCTCTGGAGTGGAGATCCATGGATTTTCCTCCTGTTATCACCCTTGGAGAGGCTCTGGGCTGGGAATGGGAGAAATCAGGGAGGAGGTGGGATGAGGTGCCACAGGATCCATGGCAGGGGCAGGGAATGGCTTTATCCACAGGGACAGATCCCCCAGGATCCATCCCAGGGGCAGGGAGTGGCTTTATCCACAGGGACAGATCCCACAGGATCCATCCCAGGGGCAGGGAATGGCTTTATCCACAGGGACAGATCCCACAGGATCCATCCCAGGGGCAGGGAATGGCTTTATCCACAGGGACAGATCCCACAGGATCCATGGCAGGGGCAGGGAATGGCTTTATCCACAGGGACAGATCCCCCAGGATCCATCCCAGG